CTATTCCTTCAGTGCATCTTGGACTGCCTCCTTCAGGATCATTGGCTCTTGATAATATGCTACCTCTTGAAACAGTTGAACATCAACCATTTCCTTTTGGTACAGTGACTCTGTGTATTCCTTCCATCTTCTCTTGATGCCTTCTGCATTATTCAATAGTTTGCCTAGAGAATCTTTCAATAATCAAAGTCAAGGCTTGAATTTTTTCTTCAGTTCCCCCAGCTTGAGAAATGCTGAGCGTGTTCTTCCTTTTTGGTTTTCTGACTCCAGATCTTTGCACATTTCATTGTAATATTTGGCTTTATCTTATCAAGCTGATCTTTGAAATTTTCTGTTCAGCTCTTGGACCTCCTTATTTCTTCCATTTGCTTTAGCATCTCTATGCTGGAGAGCAAGCTTCAGTGTCTTTTCTGACATCCATTTTGACCTTTTCTTTCTTTCTTGTCTTCTTAATGACTTTCTGCTAATAAATTGATTTTCATCTTAACTTCATTTAATCCATCTTGCCTTTAGGTTCATCTGTTTAATAGTAATCTGTGTTAATCAGGATACTTTCTTTGAGTGATACATTGCACAATCTGCATCTTTTGTAACTGAGGAAAGAAATATGATAGGGAATGAAGGAAGTTTTCTACTTCATTCTAGTAGGCATGTAATAAATATTGCCTGGGAGATATTTTAAATGGATTAATTAATTCTGGGATATAGATTCTTTCTTGGCCAAGTTTCAGTTAACTGTTCTGTCTACCTAGGAGTCCCAGTGATGCAGTAGTTAAAGCACTCAGCTGCTAATCCAAGGTTGGCAGTTCAAACCCACTGTTCCTCCACAGAAGGATGATGAGGCAGTCTGCTTCCATAAAGATGTAGAACCTTGGAAACCCTCTGAAGCAGTTCCACTCTGGCCTGTAGGGTTGCTTAGAGTCTGATCCACTTTATGATATTGGGTGTTCTCCCTACTTCACTTTCCGTTCTCTCCCTTGCTCCCTGTACCCTCTTTTATAGTCACAAGGGATTAGGATTTGCTTTATTCTTATCTCTTTCAAGGGTAGCCCCAGTCATTGATATTTCCCAGGTGGACCCTCTCAGGTAGCCAGGACTCAGAAATATGTCACCTACTTGGCCCACGTTTTGGGTCCTGCCCAGTCTGCCATTGTAGCCATAGTCTCAGGGCTGAGATGGTTCAGCACTCCCTGCCCTCTCTGTACCCAGCCAGGCCAACATGATTTTACTTAAATCATTTAAAAAAATCATCAGTATTTCTTCTATTGATGTTAAGACCTGTGACTGGGGAAAGTATTTTCTAGCTTATATCAGTAGCCTGTTCTGGTGTTTGACGCTCTCCTGATGCTGGTTTGGATGTGCTCTGCGTGAGGGAGATGATGGTGGATTTCATTAGTGACTCAGGTCATGGTTCCATTTCCTGAGCACTCACCATGTGGCAGTTATTGTGCTAATTCTCTCAATTTTCCGTCAACTCTATGAGGGTCGATAACATTATCTGTATTATGGAAATGCATTGAGAGAAAGGTGGTGACTGATGTCTTCTGAAATTAATCATTGGCTGATGGAGTTGGAGTATTAGTTAACAGTTGTTGTTAAATGCCATCGAGTTGGTTCTGACTCATAGTGACCCTTTATAAGGTTTTTGAGGAGCAGCTGGTGGACTTGAAATGCCAGCCTTGTGGTTTGTAGTCCAGTACATTAGTCAACTGTTGTTATTGTTAATTGCCGTCGAGACAGTTCCGACCCATAGCAACCCTCTATAGAGTTTCCAAAGAATGACTGGTGAACTTGAACCGTCGACCTTGCGTTCCAAATGAGTTTGCAGTCCAGCGCATTAACCCACAGTGCCACACTATGACTCCATTAGTCAACTAGTGATTGACTGATTATAAAGAAAAAAATAAATAACTTTTTTGTTTTACTCTTAATTGTAGTGGTCATTGTAACAATAGTGCTAATGACAATTTACTTGTTTACAAGGAAATGTTAGGATTTCCTCTCTTATAGCAGGCTTTTTTATTTTATTAGGTTTGCCTCTTCAATTAGTTATAAACATTCATTAATCTGAAATATATGATAATTTGGACACGGGCTGGGCTTAAGTTTACCTTTGAACTTTGAAGTAAAAATGAAGGGCTTAGTAAACAAACAATAGAAAATAAATATATTGATCTATTTAAAGGGAATATGATTATTTTAACCCTAGAAGTCCCACTTTTTTTTATATAAATGACATCTGAAGAGGGCAGGCACTAGCCTCTGGTTCTTACGTTGCTATTTCAGTGTACTGGTCATCTCTTCATTAAAGTTGCCCTCCTAGCTTAGCTAAGTAATGAAAATACAGTTCTTCCAGTACACAGTAGTAGATTTTAAGGAGTCTCTGGGTGGCATACATGATTGTCTTAGTTCTCTAGTGCTGCTATAACAGAAATACCACAAGTGGATAGCTTTGACAAAGAGAAATTTATTCTCTCACAGTTGTTGTTGTTGGTGGTTGTATACCATTGATTGGTTCGAATTCATAGAGATTCTGTACAGGATTTCTGAAGCTGTACATCTTTATGGGCACAGAAAGCCTTGTCTTTCTCCTGTGGAGTTGCTGGTGGATTCAAAGGTTAGAAGTCTGAATTGAAAGCAGCCGCTCAGGAGAAAGGTTCTAGTCTCATTTCAGCTTTTGTAGGTCTAGCATTCTGCGGAGTTTTCTGTGTCTTGGCATCAGTCTTCCTCTGAATCTAAGAGCCTTACAGTGTAGGGATTCCAGGTCCAAAGGATGTATTCTACTCCTGGTTCTTCTATCTTGATGGCATTAGGTCCCTGTTTGTCTGCTCATTTTTATATCTCAAAGACATTGGCCCACGATACAGCCTAATCCTATAGATTACACCTGACCTCATTAACATATAACAGAAGTGAGGATTTACAATACATTGGATAATTACATCAGATGAGGGATGATCGCATCATATCATATCATGAGTTTGATTGTATTATATTGGATCTCACCATGGAGATCTAATTGCATCTTGATTGCTAAACCACTGAAAGTCCTGGCCCAGTCAAGTTGACACAAAACCTTAACTATCACAGTTCATCACCAATTTTGTACCTATACATAGTTCTTTAGATCGCCTATAATGTCTAAATAGAGCCAATTATGAAGTCATACTTGTGTCTAGCATAATGCAAACTAACAACAGTACAGCTGAAAGCACACTGGCCCCATTTTGCTGTTGTTATTAGGGGCTGTCAACACTATGGTTCCAACTCATAGTGACCCTGTGCATAAGAGAGCGTAACACTGCCTGGTCCTGTGCCATCCTCTCAATATTGTTATGTGTGAGCCCATTGTTGATGACACTATGTCAATCCATCGTGTTGCAGACCTTTCTTTTCTTTTTAAATGTTTTATTGTGAATTATGTGATAGTTTACATGGGAGAACATTAGCTTTACATTCATCCTGTCGTATATTGTTTCATTGCCATGGTTACAGTCCCCTCCATCATCAACCAACCAAAGGATATACCCTGCAAGCCTGCTCCCCGGTCGTCAGCACACAGCCCCTGTCCCTCTCTGGGTCTAGAGTCCCCAGCTGCTCCATCTCTCCACGTCATCGTCTTTGGCAGGCCTTTCTTTTTAAATCCCATTATATTATCCCAGGTTAGTGTGAGTGTGGTGGCTCCATAGGATGAGTATGGGACAGTGAACCGTAAGGTTTGCAGTTCAAGCCCACCAACCATTCTGCAAGAGAAAGATGAGGCTTACAGCCTCTGATACCTTGTACAATGTCCTTAAGGGTTGGAACCATCTTGATGGCAGTTAACAAGAACATCAACAGCAACAAATATCCCCAAATGATTCCATGTCCAAATTTCAACCATGGACCTAATTCCTCATCATCTGTGAATATAGAATACAAGTTATCTGCTTCCAGATATAATGGTGAATCACTCAAGACGTAGACATTTCCACTACAAACAGGAGCAATTGGAGGGAAAGCAAGGGAATAACAGCCATCAAGCAAGTTAAAAACAGTGCACATTAATTTATATAAGTTGTTCTCAATACTTGAAAATGACCCCCATGGTTTCTAAGACTATATAGGCAATGGCCCTGCTCCCCAGACTCTGGGTGTTGGCTGTTCACCCTTGGGCTTTAGCTCTGCCTTCCAGGCCCAGTGGAATGGCAACTCTGCTCCCTTGGCTTTGGGTGACCCCATTCTCCTAGTCCACTGAGTGGTGACTCCACCCCCTCAGCCCCAGCAGACCCCATTCTTCAGTCCTCTTGGGCATGGCAGCCCTGCTTCCTCAACTTTGGGCAAAGGCCCCATCTTATTGGAAGCCCTGCACTCCAGAACCAAGTTGGTGAAGAAGATCCAAATCTTTGAAACTTAGGAAACTGTGGTATCACCCTTAGAAACCTCTCAGATCATGGCTCCACCTTTTGAGAGCCCACAGAGATCATGGCCCAATGTTTTGAGACTGAGCGTGCTCTGCACCCTTGCTCCTTGTCTCTTTAACTTTTGCCTTGGTGTCTCGAAGAGGACAGCCTGGCTTTTGCTCTACTGAGCACAGCTGTTTAGCTCTACTGATAAGTGCCAAGAGGCACCCCGCACCACCAGTAAGCCTTGGCCCAAAGATGCTCAGCTCTCACTCTGTGAGTTTGAGAGCCTAACATCACTAGTATATGCCCGGAGGCATCCCACTCTGCCGGGAAACCTCCAGTGTGCAGGTGCCCAGCTCTCTTGCTCCGTGGGTCAGCTCGTGTTCTGTCTTGTGCTGATGCCCTGGTTCTGCTGCTGTAGTTTCTCTGCCCCTGGTTCTCACTGTGCTGTCATTGGTGTAGCTCTCCTCATTTCCTTCTGACCCCTCATCAGAACTGCCTCTGACTTTTGTCATTACACTGACAGCCTCTTCAAGCAGCTTAGTGCTCTCTCAGGCTCTGCCTGTTATCCAGTTCTAAAATGACTTCCACGTTTTAGGTATCTGCTAGAGCAGCACCCCACTCTTGATACCAAATTCTGTCTTAGTTATCTAGTGCTGATACAACAGAAATGACGCAAGTGAGTGGCTTTAACAAACAGAAATTTATTCTTTCACAGTTGAGGAGGCTAGAAGTCTGAATTCCGAGTGAGTGCCGGATCTGGACAAAGACCTTGTCTCATTTCTGCATCTGTAGGTCTAGTAGTATTCCTTGGAGATCTCTATGTGCCTTGGTATCCTTATCCAGAGAAGCAGTGACACCAGAGATGGAGGCAGAGATGGGGACATGGAGAGAGGGAGCAGCTGAACACTCTAGATTCATGGGAAGAGGGAGAATGAGAGCTGGCAGCCAGGAGGCAGACTAGTAGAATGTGCCCTTTGGTGGTGTAAATTATATATATGCCTGAGTGTTTAAAAAAAAATAAGGCAGGGGGGTTTAAAATAGAGAGAAATACTGTTATCTGATAGTACATGGAGGGGATTATAATCATTGTAATGAAACAAGGTATATAATTTGTTGAATGTAAAACTGATGATCTGCCCTGTAAACTTTCACTCAATCCACAATAAAAACTTTAAAAGAAAGATAGAGATTGACTCAAGATACAACCTAATCTTGTAGATTGCTTCCAACCTCATTAACATCTCAGAAGTGAGGATTTGCAACACATTAGATAATTACATATGATTAGATCATATCTTGGGGATTGGTTATATTAGATCTCATCATGGGGGTGATAACTACATCTTGATTGCTAAACCACAGAGAATCCTGGCCCAGCCAAGTTCACACAAAGCATTAACTGTCACAGTGGTTAAATGCTCAACTACTAGCTGATAGGTTGGTAGTTCAAACTTACCCAGAGGCACTATGGGAGCAGGCCTGGTGATTTGCTTCAGAAAGATTAGACCATGGAAGTCCTATTGAGCAGGTTTACTCAGCACACAGGAAGTCACCATGAGTCAGAATTGATTAATTTTTTTCTACAAATCCTCCCTGATTTAAGTTCAGGGAGGATTTGTAGAAAAAATAAATGACACTGTATTTCTTCCCAATCTTGCTACCTGATGAGTATCATCAGTGAGCCTGAGGATTTCTTAAAAAATTCAGATTTATAACTTTGTATCCTTAGGCTATGTGTCTGTTAAGTGTCATAGGTTATAGGTATTTTACTTTGACTTGATGACAGTGTATAACTAAAGTGTATTTTTAAAAAATTTAATTTGACCATGAAATAAACTTGCCACAAAGCAGCTACCAACATAAGAACTGGAATGATGAACATACAACTTGAATTCCCTAAAGCAAGTGGTATTGATTATATTTTAATGAAAAATAATGTATTTGTGTTAATTCTAACCCTCAGGCTAAATAGTGAGGAGTGTTCTGTTTTCACTTTGTTACAGGAACAACTGAAAATGAAGGATCAGTCATTGAGAAAACTACAACAGGAAATGGACAGTTTGACATTTCGAAATCTGCAACTTGCCAAGAGGGTAGAACTTCTTCAAGATGAATTGGCTCTAAATGAACCCCGAGGCAAGAAAAACAAGGTAGATTCACATAAAAGTAAATTAGTATGACCTTGTCTTAAATGCAGAACTCTATAAGCCATCATGGTTTTAATAGAAGATCCCACTCCCAAGATTTTTTTTTTAAATTTACTTTTCACCTAATCTCCAAATATTCCTCTTGGATTTTGGATCAAGAATTTGTCTCTATGCTTAGTATTAAGTATAGCAACATCTTATATGAAATTAAGTAGTTTTGTTGTTTTTCTTTAAATTTTCTGTATTTTGTTGTTGAGACTATACACAGCAAAGCATACACCAGTAACGAAGTCCATTTGAATTGCAAGGTCGGCGGTTTAAGCTCACCAGCTGCTCCTTGGAGACCCTATACAGGGTCGCTATGGGTCGGAACCGACTCATGGCATTTAACAACAACATTTACAATCAGTGACATTGATAAGATTTGTTGAGTTGTGCAACAATTTTCACCCTCCTTTTCTGAGTTGTTCCTTCCCCATTAGCATAAACTCACTGCCTAAGGTGTCTAGCTAATCTTTTGAGTGGCTGGTTCAATTTGATCTTAAAGAAGCATAATGCTCAGAACAGATCTTTTTTCATTAGTAAGGATAATGAAAAAGTTCAGTTTAAGGTTACTTCAGGGGATATTTTTGTTTTAAAGATGAGTTCAGGCCAATAGGTTCATCCATCCTCCATGGCTCCAGAAAGTCTAGAGTCCATGAGAATGAAATACTGTTACATTTTCCCCCTTTTGGTCAGGATTCTTCTGTGGAATTTTTAATCAAAATGTTAAGTAAGCAAAGCCAGGAATCTAGTTCTTCTGTCTAATGGCAAAGGAGGTTATCTGAAATTAGTTTTTAAAAATTTATTGGTGGTGAAGTGTTGTCAAGTTGGCTCTGACTCATAGTGACCTTGGATAGCGTTTTCAAGGCTGTAATTTTGGACAGGAACAGAAAGCCTCATCTTTCTTCTGAGGAGCAAATGGTAGAGTCGAACTACTAGCCTTGTGGGTTGCATCCAACTCGTACATGTACATGACTGAATAAGTGACAGAGAAAAGTAGATGGAAATTTCATATTGGTCAAAATTGTCACTATCTTTTAGCTTTACCAAGTCCCCATTAGCATGTTGTTGTTGTTGTTATGTGCCGTGGAGTCGGTTC